TCTACTTGGCTCCAGGAGCAGGAGTTTCCAGTGCCAAGAGTCGTATCTGGAATTAGAAGGATTCAGGATTCAGCAGAGAGTAGCACCTAGCCCTTGTGAGGAACCATGCTTTTTAAGAAGCTTTCTGCCTTACGGTGGGAAGCCCCTCGTCTGCTCAGTGTTCAGCTTCTCAGCTCTCACGGCTGTGACCACAGAGATTCTAAAAACTTTATTTTCCATTGAAGAGCAGCGGCTCAGCCCCTGAGCTGCCCTCGGCTGAATGGGTGCAGCTCCCAGGGGAATGATCGCTGAAGCGGAGGATACAGCCTGGTGTGTCTTTCCCTTTCCATCCCGTTACAAAGAACATGCTTATTCAGCCCTTTAACAGACTGGCTATTGCTGCTCGTTCAGCTTTTGCCGTGTTCCTCATTATTCATGGATTCTTTTCTCTCTTGAATTGCTTTTCTTCAAGATTCTGGTTAAAATTCATGTGGTTTCAGCATTACCATGTTTTTCACTAAAGGCTTATCAGCGTTACAAACATCTGCTTTTTTAATGTCTTTTTTATATTAAATAAATTTATGTGACGCTAGTTCTTTCACAATATCTTCCCTTTTTCAGCACCAGCAACTCAAAATACACTATGACCGTCAACAGAATTCATGTCTATCTTGCGAGGTGGGACAGGCTGCAGGAGGAAATCGTTATTATTGGGATTGTGGAAGATTTGGGTGTTTCCCCGTTTGCAGAGCGGTGTCTGGCTGACCTGCATCTGGCTGCAGCATCCTCTCACCTGGGAGGAGGGAGACTCTGCCACCCGCTAGTTCTTTCACAATATCTTCCCTTTTTCAGCACCAGCAACTCAAAATACACTATGACCGTCAACAGAATTCATGTCTATCTTGCGAGGTGGGACAGGCTGCAGGAGGAAATCATTATTATTGGGATTGTGGAAGATTTGGGTGCACCTGGCCGCAGCATCCTCGCACTTGGGAGGAGGGAGACTCTGCCACTACAAGCTCTTCAAGGTAGAAAGTTTCTTTCTATTCCATGTTTTCACAGCCTCTCACACGGTGTGGCAGGGGTAGGCCAGCTTAGAATAATCATAATTAGTATTTAGCAAGAAAGCTGCAGAGAGCAGGATGACAAAACCACTGTCTCCACCTGGGCAGAGCGCGATGGCCCAGGCTGGTCCTGCCCTGGGCTGGTGGGTTTCTGCCCCACTGGCTGGCACCTCCGGACGGGGATAACCAGGGGCTCCAGCCCTCCTCATCCTCGGAGGAGGTTTGCTCCTTTCCACCTCCCCCTCTCCCTGGGGCTGAGGGTAAACCTAAACCTGCCCCCTCCCCTCCAGCCCCGGGCTGTGCCACCTTCTTCTCTCTTGAACATACTCATTTCCCTTCTCCGGTAATTTTGCAATCAGTGACAGGACGTTTAATCAATCGTTTTCATACCTCGGGGCTTATCTGCCCAGAGATATTTTGGGATTGCTCCTGGGCTTTTAATTCACACCTTCCCTTAATCCAAATTAGCTTTCAAGTGTGGGCAAGCCCCGTACCCCTCGGACGTGAAGCTGTTGGGGAACGTGAGAGTTTCCAAGCGCGTTTGGCACATAAGGACATCCTTGTGTCTTGGAGACTCCCTCTGGCAGCACTCGGAGCATCGGGAATGTTGGCCTGGGGCTGTGGGCGAGCAGGGCACCCGGTGGGGACCAGCTCAGGACACCCAACAGGGACCAGCACAAGGTTGGGAAGCAGATGCTGGAGCACTCCCTGAATGAAGACATTTGGTTTGGAAGGTCCCTGGCAAAGAGTCATTGCCTGAGCAGACCTTCCCGTGGCAGAGGTGGGCACTCACCCACACGTGTTGGGGCTGAAGGGGCTGCTTCTGGCCACCAGCTCATTTGGAGGAGGAGAGCAGAGGCTTTTGTCCCTGTGTGCATACAACTGGTGAAAGACGATGAGTGTTTTTGCTGTAACGTGCCACTTTTCCTGGCGTTATCGCTAGATCACAGGCTCAGCACGTTTTGTTTTCCCATTTTGCCCTCCCTCCTTCTGTCGCAATTTGGGTTTTGTAAATGTGCTGCGGTGACAGGGTTTGCTTGGATCAGTGCTCTGAGTGGATTGTGTTGCTCCGCAGGAGGGGAACAGTTATTATAGGTGGAGCTGATGGTTACACCTATGCTTGAGACAGTTGCTCAATATTTTCCACTGTAAACCCCTGTTTTAATTAATGTTGCAAAACTTTTGCCAGCCAGGCAAAATTTTCCATGCCATCTCCCTTAAAAGGTAACTGCTCTCTCCCCTTGGTGCCAGCACAGGGGGAGACAAATATGGAGCTACATCCTTCTCCCTGTCCAATTTGGGGGTTTTGTGATTTTAGATTACTAGAGAGCAGTCCCTGGATGTTTAACAAAGGAAGAAATTCTCAATTTGCCTCATTTTTGCTAAGCACGGGCATTTAACTGAAATACCCACAAAATGCTTGGGAGAAGTGTTTTTGTGACGTGTCTTCAATGGAGACCTGAAAAATCTACACAAATTCAGTCTTCCTTGGCCATCGAATCAGTGGATTCCTCTTTCCATGATCCTTTTGGAGAACTCTTCCAGGTCAGCTCAGGACAAAGGCCTGTTCAGTCAGAAAACAATTTAAATTCACGCTTACTTTCTGTTGTGGGTCTTTGCTTAAAAGCTGTAATAGGAAGATTATCCCTGTTAATTGGTGTCTCATCTATTGTCAGATGTGGCCGGTGGCCAGGAGCCGTCAGCTCCTTGAGGGGTGAGTAACACAACGGCCACGGTGCCAGGTGAGGTGTCTGGGGATGGCAGGAGGGAGCCACACAGCAAAGGAGCAGCTCGTCATTTTCCTCCTGAAAACATGCCATACACATGCCATACACATGCCATACACATGCCATCGGCTTCCAGCTCCTGGGGATGGATGGTTGTTAAACCTGCGGCCGATCTCCTGAAACACCTTCCTCAGTGCTTGTTTTGGTTGGAAAAGACCTTTAAGATCATCGAGTCCAACCATTAACCCAAAACTTCCAAGTTCCCACTGACCCTTGTCCCTCAGCACCACGTCTACACGGCTTCTAAATCCCTCCAGGGATGGTGGGTTTTGCTGCCCTGAGCAGCCTCTTCCAGAGATTGCATGCTTTGCAATCTTCTTTATTTTTTTTTTTTTCCTTTTAAAGTTGTGGTTGCTGGGTCCGATGAGATTTCATTCGATCCTTAGCTTTCAGGTATGAGGAGGGAGGGGGACATTTTGGTGGAAAAGAGTCTCAAGTCTGTGATCAGGGAAGAGGTCTGAGCATACGTGAAGGACACTGCCTTGCAGGCTCAGAAACGAGGAGGTAAATAAGAGCAGAACAGGTATTTTCTGAGAGAAATGAGTCAAATTAATTATAAACCCCTGACTCACGGTTTGGATACTTGCATCAACATCCACTAATAGTCTCAAGGGCTTTAGCTGCCAGTAATTACTCTGACGCGAAGGGGGTCATTACCCACTCGCTCACAGTGACCTGTGGTGTGTGAGCAAGTGCAAGTTCAGGGCTGGGCAGAGAAGGCACCTGCCGGCCCCTCTCCTGGCCGGGGGCCACTCTGCCCACCCGGCTTCCAGCCCGGCTACCTGCCTGCTCCTGGGCTGGCCACCTCTCTGGGTTTCCAGATGCCTGGCAACCTGCTCAGCAGCTGGATGGACACACTGGACAAACGGGACCATGGGCTGCTCAGAAGATACAGGCTGGTGGGACACAGGGGATGATGATAGATGCTTAAAGGAACACCCAGGAACTTATAATATCACATCCTGCGGGCTCTGGGTGACATAGGCCGTGCCTTAAACCCGGCTAAAGTTGTGAAAACCCCCAAACCAGTGACACCCATTTCGGTACGCAGATCTAGAACACTCGCGGCCCTCAGGCCACGCACCCGCGACGCGCCCCAGCGAGCGGTTCCTGACATCGAGACAACAGAACTTCTTTCCCAACTCTATAAAAGGCCACACTTTGTCCTACACAGGCTACGGTGATCCGAGCTCGCCCTCCTTAGATGGCTGGTGGTGCAAGCGCCTCATAAACTTATAGTGACCATGAAAGAATAGCATGATCGTTGTGCGTTTGTGCCTCGAATGTAGCACCGTCCCCTCCGAAACGCGCTCCCGACGCCGCCCGGCGCAGCGGGGGATGCCGGTGCCGCTCTTATCTGCATATCCCCGCCTCCCCACCACGCCATTGGCCAGCAGTCTCCCCAGCGGTGGTGCGGCCCGCGGCTGTGAGGCTCGGCGCCTGATTAGCATTCGCCCCGCCCTCAGGCGCCCGGGCGGGGAAGCTGGTTGGTCTCTTTGACGCCGGCGGGGCGCGGCTACCCTCTGCGATTGGCGGAGCGGCGCGTCAGTCGGCCGCCGCGAGGGCCGCACTTCCGCCTGGGTGTCAGCGGTGCCGGGACGGGCGGGGGGGGGGGGGGGGGGCGGGGGGGGGGCGGCCGTCAGGGAGCGACGGCCCAGCGCCGCGCTCCCTGCCCCGGCAGAGGCGGCAGCCGTGCCCCGCTGGGGCCGCAGGCCGGTGCGGCGGGGTCGGTGGCGCGTCGGGCCGAGGGGCTGTTCCCCTCCCGGGAGGCGGCGGGGCCCGGGCCGGGCGGCGGGAGCGCTCCCTCGGCCGGTGGGTTCCCCCGCGGGGACAGGGGGATGGCGGGGGCTGAAGGACGTTGCTGCGCAGAGCGCGGGTTGCAGGGCAGCAGAGCTCCGGCAGTCCCAGCGAGGAAGTTTTTTTCTAATTTTTTATTTAATCCCCCCCCTTGGGCTGCTTTTGGAGCTGGCGAGTTCAGCAAAAGAGTCTGCGACACCCTGTTCCCAAGATGAACGCGTTGAGCTCATCTTCAGCACAGCACAGGAGCCTCAAGGGGCCTTTTAGGCCACAGCTGGAGCTCAGGAGCAGTCAGGATTTATTGGAGGCTGTTGGGTTTTGGTTTTTTTTTTTCCCTCCTCCTTCAGTTACCTACTCGATGTTTCTCTTACAGAGCTCCTGAAAGGGAGACAAGCACGATGGGAAAAATAGCAGGAAAAAAGGCTTTTTTTTAAATAACATGCCACCAGAACTTCTGCATGGTAACAAAGGTATAAATTCTGTTGCCATTTATTTGATTTGGATGTTGGTCATGTTTGTGCTAGAGGTGTCTTTGGATTCAGGACCGGGTTTGGAAGCGGTTGGTTACTCTGCAGCACTTCCAGGCCAGAATTTCAGATATGGGTTTGAACTCTGGTTTTTAAGCCTGCCGTGGCCTTGTGTTTCCCCTCAGAAGCATGTGCCAAAGCATGTTCAATGCAAGGAGATATTGCTTGAATTTACTGTGAATTTTCTCAATTAAAATACGTACCCTTCATTTAAGCTTTCAAAAAGGAGAGGCAGGTGTGCAGTGTAGGTCAGTGTTTCTGTACCGCTCCTCGCGTGGGGTTTCCTTTTTCTTTTTAAAACTGTTTCGTTCCAACTTAACCTTCTGAAGTTCAGTAACTCCACGTTCACGTTGACATCTGGGGGCAACCACATGTATCATCTTCCAGACTTTATACCAGTATGCTCTGGGACTTCTGAAACCTCAGGGCAGTTTCTGGAAGCAGTGACTTGGGTGGCTTCCAACCATAAAGCCCTGCGCTGTGGGATGGAAGTAGGAGAACTGGCTAAACTAGCATGGAAGCAAGAAATTCCCAGCAGTGATTTTTCCCCTTAGTAACCCCCTGGGTTTTCACTTACTGTAAACATAGGCTTTCTTAAAATAGTTGTTAAGTCATACAAATGTTTGACCACGTGACGGCAAGTTGAGGGCAATCTAGGATAAATTCGGGAGTGATTCTTAAGGTGGTTTTCCTGAATCAACAGCACCTCACAATGAACCTGTAACTTCAGGGAGTGCTCAGAAGGGAACACTGAGACATCTGCTGTCCAGGAACAAATATGCCATTTTTTCTCCAAAACTAGCTCTTTAGCCATGCCAATATAATCTTAGAAAAGTTCAAGATAGAAAATGGTGAACAATGAACGCTATGCCTGCAAGTAGTTGAAAGCTAGATAGGTTAAAAGTTTCAGTTGCTGCAATACTGAAAAACAGTGCGGTGCACATAGTTACTTGTTTGCTGACGTTATGCAAACGTGCTTGATTTGGTAACTGATCATGGAGGGTAAATTTCACTATTGGGTGGTTTCTTTAAATCAGTTTTAATGCTGTTGCTGCTTTCTATGCTACGTATTTGCTTAAGATGACAACTATTGGGTGGTTTCTTTAAATCAGTTTTAGTGCTGTTGCTGCTTTCTATGGTACGTATTTGCTTAAGATAATGGGTTTTAGGATTGAAACTGGTGTTTCTTCTGGTCTTTTTGTGAATTCCGCTGTGTGAACTCCACACGTGCTGAAGTAGAACTGAGGTGGAAAGCTTAGCTTTCTGTTACTTTAGGGTTGGCTGGAAAACATACCAGTTGGGGATTATTGCTTTGATAAGGCTATATTTTTAAATCACTGTTTGTAGTGCCAGGCAGATGATTTTTTGTTGTTGTTGTTGTTTGAAAGCGAGATTCACATGCAAGTCCGCTGAATTTTTAAGCAGATAGTTCATTAGCTGTGGTATTTGAAATAACTTGTCCTTGAAGAGTGCAATGTTACATTGTGCTACTTGATAACTAGAATTTCCCTTTACAAGTTGGCATTTTTTCTAGCCCTTCACTCAGTTTTGTCGCCTGAGTCATGAAGATATCTGATAAGAAATGTCCATATTTCATGCTAACAGGATGTTTTAAAATGCTAGTGTTTAGTCTGCTCTCCCTGAAATAACTAAAATGTTTGGTTCTCTTACATTTTTTTGAAAGAAATGCACAAAATCAGGCATGCAAAGAATATGTGTTAAATATGGAGTGCTCCACATCTTGAATGTTTTTGCTGAGTTGGAATATGTGACTGATCACAGAGACCTCCTTCCCTCGCTGAGTACATTGGCAAGTGAGAGCAGGGGAAAGAAGGTCACCCTGTGTCTGCCACTTCGGAAGATACAGGGCTTTTGAAATTTTTCCTGTTGCAAAAAAATATAGGTCATATGTTGTATCAGTTCTTTTATGTTTTTTATTATTTCATGGACTAGACAATCACAGAACTTGGAATTAAAGAATATGTTATCTCCATCCTTGAATTCTTAATAATCACCTTGCAGAGGAGCCTATGATGATGTAATTATTTACTTTGTATTCTTAAAGGCTCATAATAGCAAGTTGCATGAGAGCAGTAAACAATTACAATGTGTCAAATGTGGCTTACCATTACTTTCAGTTACACTCTTCAAAACTTCATTGTTGATTCAGTGCACAAAGATAATGTCTTAATTTTCAGGATCAATAAGTTACAAGAATAGACTGAGCTTACACTTATTTATTTTTTTTTTTAAATATAGTTACAGTTGAAAATTCATTTGGTGGTCTAGACAGATCCTTCAGATTATTTCAGGATATTTTGTTATGCATATAATTTAATGAGACAGTTTTTTAGTAAATGACAGCAGCCCTCCATTCAGAGAATGCAGAAGGCTGGACAGCCTTGTCTTCCTGTGACTGTGGGAGGAGAGTGCACAAAAGGTGAATTGTGCTGCAGAAATACATCTGGGCCTTTTCATCTTGGCCCTTTTGGTTTTACGGTCCCAAATTTAAACTGTGCATTGCTCTGTGGGACTCGTAACGTCTGTGCTTGGCATTGGGCTGAAGGGAACCCCTGACCTATGGCACCCCTGTCTGAGTTCCCTTCCTTTGCTGTGCTCTTCTGAGATGTGGATGAGATGGGGGTTGTGGCCCCTGGGGTGCTGTGAACCTTTGGGCTGTCACAAAGCAGTTTGCATGCTTATGATGTTGGTCAAGAGCTGTTTTCATGGATGGGTAACTTTGCCGTATTTTTACTGTTGTCATTTTTACTCTTCTGAGTTGGTTTTTTAGGGGTCCCGAAAGAATCTGTTAATATATCTCATTGGGGTTTAGTTCTACTGGTAGTTCCAAAGCAATGATGGAGTGGGAGGTGGGAGGGAGACATTTGAGTTATCAGGTGTCCATGGTTCTCCTCACTCACTTCAGACCTACCCAGCTCTGGCCACCCGGGTGGCAGAGGCCGATGGAGACTGTTCCCTACAGCGTGTCAGTGCGATCAAGTGAGAACGAGAATCCTTTTAATAATGCTCAATTATAAAACTGGTCCATGGTGAGGCTCTGGAGAAGTCAGCTCACCAGCATGTTTGTAACGGGCCATTTAGCAGCGTCCTTGTTTACTGGACAAAATGAGAACTTTGTTAGAACAAAACTTCTCCCCCTGCATGTGTTCTTTCGAGGTTTTGCACAACGTCAATGAAACTGTTGAATGGATGTTTAATAGTGAAACAAAAATGCTATCTATATTTAGAGATGCAAATAACTTTATTTACATGGCCCTAATTTTGTCTTAAATGTAGTTCTAGGTGTTGTGCAACTGTTTTCTTATCCAGGTGGGCTAATGTTACCAAGCAGATAGCCAGGTGGATTCTTTATTAAGCCTGAACTTTATTTAGAGGTATTTGTCCTGTCTTGGGAAGTCAAAGTTTGTTTTGTTTTGTCTTGTTTTAATCTCTTGACACGAGCAAACAGAGCAACACCCTTATACTGGATTCCATTAAGTAGCTATTTTAAATGTAGCTTTAAAGGAAATTCAGTCATAGCAGAAATTCTGACCTTCTTAAGCTTTTGCAGATTTGTGATATCATCTTAAAACTTTTCAGCAAATGTTCTGCTGGCTGTGTGCATGAGCTCCTGCTGCAGGATTTCAGAATTTCAGTGTGTGAGGAGTTGCTGGTAGGCACAAAAATACAGTTTTGTATCCTGTAGGGCTTTGCAGCAGGTTACTCAGCTGCTGTCCTGCGTTATTTGCACTGTGATTGCTGTCATAATTGTTTAAGAGTCTCTGTGAAAATGATTTGCAAGATACCTTTTACAGAATAAATGTAAAATTGCACCTACCCGGAGAGAAAGGGTCTACAGAGACAGAACTTAAAAAGTGCCTTTTAGTGGGAAGATCAATAAACTAAACTTGTAACTATTTTTACTGTTCTAGGGATTTTCTCAAGTGATACTATATGCTGTAATTGTCTTCACATTCTTAAGCTTCAGTGATCGGTTTGTAGAGGTGGTTACATTGTGATGAGAGATATTCAAGCATATTTAATTTTATCTTCAAAGTAATTTTTGGCTGAAAGAGAAGTATTCATAAATGATTAATTAGATATCAATTGACACTTGTGTCCAAAGGTACTGTGCTTGGGGTTATTGATTGCTTCCCACCTTGTCTCTCTTACAAATAAGGTAAAACAAATCCTTCAGGGAACTCGTAAGAAGCAATTAATTTTACAAGACAGTATTGAATTACTTTTTTTATTTTTTTTTACAGTGTGGCTAGAAATGAGCTGAAGTATCAGCCATGGTCAAGCCTAGCGTTAGTTTCATGGGTAGGGAAGGCGTGTAAACCAGTATTTTGTGATCTTTTATAATTGTGGACAATGAAATAGTTTCCAAGGGAAGGCTACAAAGTGCAAATGAAGCTGTACCAGGTGCCCTCAGATGGAAAAGTGCCTCAAATTTTGATGCGGGGTTAAAAGAAGAACATTTGCAGAATTCTGTGGAAATTTCAGTGGATTGTTTTGCGTCAGAAAATGTTAATCTGCTGGAATCAAGTTTCTTTGGTCTTTGTTTGTTTGTCAGGTTTGGTGGAAGTTCTGTGAGCCAATATCCCGGAGGTGTTTGGTCGCTGTGCTGCTGGGCTGGTCTCTGCCCAGCTTCATTGGGACAATTTTTACATTCAATAAAGAGTCCTTCTGGTCGCAGCGCTGTAGCTTTGTGCTGGGGACAGCACTCAGTGCCCAGGACAATTACTGTGCTTTGTTCCCATGCAGAAACAGATTTTCTAGCTTGAACTGGGTTGCAAACCAGACTTCTGACTCTTGCTTCTTCTGAAGTACCACCAAAAATCTGTGCTCCCGAGAGAACAAAACCTGCTTCTCTCTGCCATAAATCTGTTTGGCTCCTGTTCAGAGCTACATTTTCAGATGTTGAGTTTGCTGCCACCATT